TGAGAATATTTCATATTAAAAACTAATTCACTTCGGGAAGATTTCTACATTGTATATATATTTATATTCAGTACATAGTTACATTAGTCATCTACATCTGTGACTAATAGTACGGTTTGTCGTTGTTGCTGTTGTCATCTCTCGTAGCTTAGTGGTCAAAGCATTGGCGCGTAAAGCCAAAGAGCCCGGGTTCGATTCCCGGCGGGGGTGTGACAACAACAGCAAAAAATTTTTCCTCATTAATTTGAGGAAGTGTGTAGTGGGTAAAAATTGAGAATATTTCATATTAAAAATTAACTCACTTCGGGAAGATTTCTACATTGTATGTATATTTATATTCAGTATATAGTTACATTAGTTCGACGGATCTGTGACTAATAGTACGGTTTGTCGTTGTCGTTGTTGCTGTTGCCATCTCTCGTAGGTTAGTGGTCAAAGCATTGGCGCGTGAAGCCAAGGAGCCCGGGTTCGATTCTCGGCGGGGGTGTGACAACAGCAACAAAAATTTTTCGTCATTAATTTGAGGAAGTGTGTAGTGAGTTCTTTTCATTGAAGGCAACTTGAACTTACGCTATCCTCTGCTTTATATCCCTATTACTCCTTCCGTCCTGACTTATCTGACTTCCTAAATACATAAAATCAGCCATATCTTCTAATCGTTCGTCCTCTATGTTTATATTCGCCCTTTCCCCATGTTTTCTTCCTTTGCATACCAGTATTTTTGTTTACTTTTGTTTATTTTCATACAATATCTACTGTTTTGTCAATAGCGCTTCCATTTTATTTAAAGCTATCTTTAACTCCTCCTTGCTATATGCTAATAGTTCTATATCATCTGCAAATCTAAGCATACCAATTTTTTGCCCCTCTATATCTATCCCTACAGTTGTACTATTTTTAAAGATGTTGATCGCGTCTTCGATGTATAGATCAAAAAGTAGCCGTAACGTTAATATGTTTTTCATATTAGCACTCCTAGCCTACTTAATGTTATTACATTAGTGTATGCAGCAGTTAATACAATTTGTTTATGCTTAATATATTCATTGATTTTAATAAATAATGGATGTTTAGGTTCCTATTAATTAGTGCATATGTTGTACAGTTCACCGTCCTGATGAGTATACTTACAGTACAAGTGAATTAAGAATTTAACATGGGCATATTTATTATACTTATATTATATTTTGAAAAATATAACGTGGTATAGGGAAATTGGAAGAAATACCTTCAACCACTAAAGAAACAGGTAGTGATTTTGCAAAAGATCCGTCACCTTTTATCGCTTTGGGGTTGGGGGGGGATGTTCCTTAGCGAATTGGGGTGCGGGCTGTGTTGTTTATATATGTTTAAATAAAGTTTATAATTATGTTAATACATACATATAATAAGGCATATATTCAATAATGATTGAAGCTGACGTCAATTATTTATCGAATATTTCTTTAATTAGGATTACAAACCACAACACTACGGTAGAAAAGAGTATAAAGTTTCGTCTGGACGCTACTTGTTTTCATTTTCTCAAACAAAACACCCTGTATATTGTAATTTTCGAAACCATGGGTGTCTTTGCCCCTCTGACTATCGCGCGTTATATGTTCTTTGCGAGTAAATAGTTTTTATCAGATTCACGGGATACAAAACTGTACCTATCAATTGAGAAATTACTCATTTTATACATAAAACGTAAATTTTTAGCGCATTAATGCCGAAATAGTGCCCGCACAAATTCAAAATATTCCGGTTATTTGAGGAACACATTCCGAGAAAAAACCCAACGTGTTAATAAAAACGAAAGTATTGAATTTGTAGTTGATTGTTTTTGGGAAATTTTCTTCCCCACGAATGAAATTAGTTTGCAGCCAAGTAATACTTCAGTTAAATTCTAATTTTTTTTCTTTAAAAGGTAAACAAGCAGTATATTGTCCGGATACCGGGTCTTGTATNCATATAAAAATTATACGGCTTAAATGTGAAGTTGGGTGCAAAAGAATACAATTAAATCCTCTGTCGGGAAAAAACGAAATGACTTTCCGAACAACCCGATATTTTGAGGTGAAAAGTGATTTTAATAAAGACAGGGTCACAAAAACGTTTGTTGCGTTTTATAGAGAAGACAAAATCATTGCGCGATGTGTAAATTTCGGCTTCAGGCTAACACCACTAGTAAACAGCTGAAGTCAGTTTGAAGGTATATGTAACAACAATCAGTATGGTATCAGTAAACTACTCGATTCACCATTTCTATCCTGAAACAACCTTCGCATTTTCCTAAAACTAGAACATCCCACATTCTTAACTATTTGCGACCAGTAATCTAATTTAGGTCTACCTCTACTCCCACTTAACTCCTCTGACTAGACCTTGATGCCTAAGAAGGTGTCTTACCTCGCCTATTTCTAATTGACTTCCGCAGAGTCCTCTACTCTCCTATTCCTTCAAATACCTGAACACATCATTTCCATAGCTTCTAATCTTTTCTTTTCCGCGCCCATCGCCCATGTTTCGCTCCCGTCCAGCGCCGCGCTCCAAACATACCTCTCGTAGCTTAGTGGTCAAAGCATTGGCGCGTAAAGCCAAAGAGCCCGGGTTCGATTCCCGGCGGGGGTGTGACAACAGCAACAAAAATTTTTCGTCATTAATTTGAGGAAGTGTGTAGTGAGTTCTTTTCATTGAAGGCAACTTGAACTTACGCTATCCTCTGCTTTATATCCCTATTACTCCTTCCGTCCTGACTTATCTGACTTCCTAAATACATAAAATCAGCCATATCTTCTAATCGTTCGTCCTCTATGTTTATATTCGCCCTTTCCCCATGTTTTCTTCCTTTGCATACCAGTATTTTTGTTTACTTTTGTTTATTTTCATACAATATCTACTGTTTTGTCAATAGCGCTTCCATTTTATTTAAAGCTATCTTTAACTCC